TTTCTCTCTTTCATTTTTTTTTTTTTTTTTCTCCTTAGCACAGTATGTTCCAGTGAGACACGGGGCTTCCTGTAATTGTTATAATACAAATTACAAAAACACGCTAAGCATGCCATACAACAAAGCTTGTGAATGACGCAGCACCAGCATAAAATTGATTCTGACTCATCTGCCAGAGGGAGTCACCCTATTTTTATCAAAGGAGAATGCTTATACACTACCTGGACTAATACAGGAAGACAATTAAATAATGGGGGAAAACCCATCTGGCATCAGGGATTCTGCCTCTGGGGAGGAGTCACCTATTGGCATCTATGCAAGTGCAGATGGACTCAGCCTCAGCCAGGGGGTGATCAGGCAGATCTGCCTCTAATCTGTGGTAAAATCCCCACAGGAATATAATCCTTTAGGCCTCCTGGGAACCTGCGTCATCCACCCAAACAACCCTAAACTTGTCATAAAGCACTATTCTTCCAGTCAAATGAATGCTGAAATTTAGTGTATGGAACTGGCAGTTTTTTTACCTGAGATATCTAATATAAAATGCTTCAACTGCATTAAGATCACCTTCTTCCTCCTGAGATCACTTAAGTTTTGGCTGCAAAGTCAGGCTTGTTCTTTCTCACCTTCCTTCAAGGCATTCAGTGTATGTGTGGTGTTTAGTTTACTCCTGAAGGAGGTGGGATATGACAGTTTCAGCTCCAGATTGAGGAGGTCAGAGAACCCAAAGTCCTCCCTTTCAGAATGACTGCCTAACAACTGATGGTGCTATTTCCTGCATGTAAAAAGAGACCCCTGCTCAGTTAGGCACTTACCTTCAAACAAGAGATGGTGGCATCTAGTTTTCAAGTGTACAGATGTGTTTAATGAACTGATGACCTCAAAAATCTACACCCTCAGAGGTGTGATGTTGCTACTGTTTCTGATGGCCAGCCTCAACTGTCTTCCCACTTAGCAGCTCTCACTGGATAACCCTCTGTAGCACTAAGCTTTCTCTCACTGAAGTTAGAAACCAAGGAATCTATCTAATGTCTTTGTGTCTCCCTGGTAGGGAGACACTAAAAAATATTTAGTTTCCAGAAATCAAGTGGAAGGTGTCTTCTTCAATCTAGAGACCTCACCAAGGCACTAAAGGTAAGCTATAGATATTTCTGATTTCTATATTTGTGTTTGTCACCCACAAATAATTTAAATATCAACAAAGGAATATGAAAGCATTGTTATACCTCAGGAGTTATGGAAGTGGCTTTCTGCAGTTTAGTGATTGTTTGTGGTAATAAAATAAATGTGTGAGAGAGCTCGCTGACATACTAGAAGCATAGTCTTTAGGAAAAAATTAAGAAAAAGAGAGATATTAACTGTCCAAGGTGCAAGGATTTGTGTAGTCTGCAAGGATGTGAGGAGGACTTTGATCTGCTTTCTCCAGGAGCATGCACCAGCACAATGATGCTGAGATAACTAATCAATCCATAGGTGTTTCTATGTTAGAGAAGGTATCTCTGCAGCCCCTGTCCTGCTGATTGCAGTGGCAGGTTCAACATGCGTGGTGTGGTCAGAACAGGTTTGGTTTATTGTCTTGCTCCAGGCTGTGGTGAGAGAGCCCAGGGAAGCTGCAGAGGTACCCTCAGGAAGCCCTGATTGCACCATGCGCATACCTTTGCATACCTGTCCCTGTTTCTTGACATTCTCCGTCTACTCAGAGTAGACAGATTGCTTTTGCCACCTCTGCCCTCTCACAACTAAACTACCATGATTACTTCTTTCGTGTTGGTCTTGATATTGCTAAATATGTAGCCAAAACTAGTGTTTCTGAAACCATTACCTAGGTGTTCATGTCTTTGTGTGATATTTCTGGTATGGTTAACTAGATATTCCCCTCCAATTATCCGTGAAATCCAGCCATTTCTTACATAGCTTTCCCTTAAACATCTGTGAAATCCAGACATCCTTCACAGCACTATCTGTAACCTTTGTCAGGTTCCCACATTGTTATCTGCTACATCCAGCAATTCCAACTATGTCATGTCCAGTGGCTTCTCACAATCAGATAGCTTCACCTGGGGCCAGGACACCATCACCTGCCTGCAGCCCTTACACAATCGAGCTGTCACTTGGCCTACATGCAGTGAGTGCTAGATGTACACTAAATGAATCGGCCAAACAAGAAAGAAAATAAAGTAGCTGTGCATGAGGGAAGAATGAAGAAGTTTAGGCATGGAGCATTTGTCTAGTGTTTTTCCATGCGCAAGTCCACAGCGTAAGGGAGGAAGACTTTGCCTTTTCTTTCAGACTTTGTGCAGGTTTCATCTCATTTAACATGAGATAGCTAGATGTATCTATTAAAGGTATCTGCATTTTTTCTGGACTCTATGAAAAGAGGCAGATGGATCCAGACAATTTAGATATCAGTTTAAGTGCAAACTTACTCACCCCTGGTGTTGATTTCCCATTGACAATAGGCATCCAATAGGCAACTCAGAGTAGTTGTCTAGCTTTCAGACTGACAAAAGACATCCATGCAAAAAGAAAAAAAAAAAAAAAAAAAAAAAGAGCATATTTATTCATTTGCTCATTTATTGAAAGTTGTACTGCTATGAACTACTGTTGCTATGGGGAATGGCAGTGCTAGGATTGTCTACTTCAGAATGTATGTACAAACCCAGAACATTTAGAGGAAGCAAGAAGACACCAATGGCATGCAAGACAACTAAGTATATTTCTTTTAGTCTGATTCACAGTCCTTCCCTCACTTATTTGTCAATAAATAGGAATAAGCACAGAGAAGGACTGAAAAAAGAGAGAAAGTAAGTCTAAGCATGCAGCAGCTGAGAGAACATGAGCCATCAAAGGCAGAGAAGGTCAAATTTTATATATTTTTTTTCATTGACATAGAGGAAATTTCTCCCCTGACTGATCAGGAATCACTTTTTCTCTGCAAGCTGCAGGTGTCCTCTGTAAAGCAATGTTGCCTCCTGTGCCATCACTTGGTTTTCGCTATGTGAAAAAGCTAGAAGTTAAAGAGAGACAGAATTGGAATCAAAATTTGGGACAGTAATCTGTATTCTTTGCTTCTAGCACTGGGGACAAAGAGAACTGAGAAGGAAGCAGTGGTTCTTTACTAGCTTTGATTGACAGAGCTATTGCCTTCTTGCAGCTTCATAGGTGAGGTCATTGTGCTGAGTGTAATTCTGGGGACAGATGGTAGAATTGGGACAGACAACAAAGAACAGATGGCCAATGAGAAATACCAGAATAAAAACATGTGGTTTGGAGCTGGACGGCCCACACTTGCCACATCAAACAACCTAAGTGTTAATCTATTTAATCTAAATTTAGGTTTTCTGTTAATGTCTTATAACAGTTATAGCTAGTACCACTCAGACGTTTAAGTTCAGAATATTGTCCTTTGAGGCAAATATTCTAACTCACAAGGGGAAAATTAAACTAATTTTGCCTTTTATTTCCATTGAAGCACTAGTTGAAAGATGGGAAAAATGCTTTTAAGAGAGCTATCCTGCTTCTTCCAGGGATGGTAAGGAAATTTTTAAATAGTTTTTAAAATATTCTTCACTGCTTTGGCTGTAACTGATTTCCACTGTCCTCTTGCTGCACAACAGAAGACTGGTATCATAGCTACGAGGTGAAGAGAAGAGATATTTGGATATAAATATCCACTTTTTGATACTGAGATAATCATCATTAAGGAACCAGCCTTATTCATTTCAGATTAATAATACCACCACATAGAGAATAGAGTCACAGTACAATAAAGTGGAATATCTATGCCATTCAGGTACAAATCTGGAAGGTACTCTCTAATTGATGCATCTCAATGAGCCTGCCATTAAAGCACTATGACATGGGATAACAAGTGCATGGACCAGAATAAAAGCTCTTTTCAAAAAGAGTCCAATAAGTATTTTATTTTATTTTATTTTATTTTATTTTATTTTATTTTATTTTATTTACTCTTGAAAATACTAATTCAGTAAATTCACACTGATTTGCATCAGTTTTATTCACACATACTTTTATACTGTAGTGATTTCACATCTGTTCTGGTTACAGAAATTTGATGGAAGAAAGCATTGATTTTTTTATCTTTATTTTTTTCACTGAGGAGAGCAATCTTTGAAGACCTGTAATGGAGTGAGCTGCAGAAGAGCAATAATATTCCTTTCAAAGATCTCAGACATCTGTATTCACATGAAACAAACTTCATAAAAGTGTCTTTGGTCTTATTTATCCTGCTACCAGGACCATTTTATCTATTTCAGTAAATTCTCTAGTGTTTAGTGGTACACATAATCAGTCATCCACAGAATGTTTAAATGGCACAACCCATTTCTGATTATTAATTTGAATAAAATGACCAAGGGTTTTTATTCAAAACAGAATCAGTGGAAAACAACTGGAGAAAAAATTAATACAAATTAGCACATGTAACTTTGGTGAATCTTAGCTTGAATAGAAGGCTAAGAAGAAATTAAAAAAAAAAAAAGTAAAGTAAAAAATGTTAGTAAATGACAGTTAGTAAAAAATGACAGTAAAGCCTGATACTATTTCGAACAAGGGGAAGAAAAGATGCAGCTACTTTCTCAGTAGGAACTTCTATACCGAATGAAAATATCTCATTTCAGTTGCTGGAACCAACATATATTCCCGGTTCCAGGGTACCTTAAAACTGTTGGGTATGCTTTTTTTTTTAAAAAAAATTTAGGTTCTGCAAGTGCTCATCTTCTTCTGGAAACTGTTTTTCCCTTGAATACTTTTGCAGTAAAAAAAAAAATTAAAAAAAAAATTAAAATGACATTACAGGTTGCCTCTTTCATTCAAAAGAAGCACGCATTATGTAATATAATTTCTATCTGGTTTATAATGACACCAGTGAAACATGATAAGGTTTGGAGCCCAAATCTTGCATTTGGCAACTACATAAGGAATTTAATCCTCAGAAATTCAGAACCCTTGTCCAAGATCTAGAATGAGCGCAGCAGAGTCTCTCCTCCAACATTACAGCAAGCAGACACGTTCAAAATAGGTTAAGTATTATGGCCCACAAACACCCTCCTTTAGGCTGAGAATTGGTAGAGAAGATCTGGCTTTTACCCAAGTCATCTTCTCTCATAAGTATGCAGTCCCCTCTGTTCCCTCCTCCTCCAGCTGGCGAAGAAAACTCCATCCTGAAGAACTCTCAGATACACAGTTCTGCCAGATTGCAACCTCTATGCCTCATAAGCTCTACTAAAGTCTCCAGAGGTGTCAGGGACAAATCTTCTACATGAGAATTACAAATTTTGCTGAAAATTCTCCCCATATTGCAGTTAACACTAGAAGTCTGAAATCTCCTAAATGTCAACCTAGCATAACTAAAGTGGATAATGTACAACATGGGATCAACTTCAACATTAGGATGAAGTCAGGAGACAGGTTGTAATGACAAAGTTGATTCAACAAATCCATTTTCCTACAGGGATTCCATAGTAGGGAGAACAATATAAGGCAATGTTGGTTATATAACATTCCTTTGAAAGAATCCCTCACTTCTCACTTTTATAATTTGTGGAAGTTACATTAATACTTTGATATTCCCCTGAGTCTTTCCTAAATTAAATAAAGTCTCATTTTGGTAATTAACATGATCTCTCTTTGCACACTAAAAATCTCAACACCTCAGTCACCTCTTTGATATATATTTTAAAAACACCAGTTTCTTCTGAGCTTGATAGAAATAGACTTTTCCACTGGTCTGCCAAAATATATAATTCTTTCAATTCACATACCCTTTCAAGCTATATGCATAGATTGAAATTTGAATATCATATACTCTCTATTACTAACCTTGCCTTCAGTGTATTTTTCTTATTACTATGTAGCTAATTTTTTTTAACTGGAAAACCCTTACCTATTTATCTAGACTGAAGAATGCATATATGTGTGTGTGTATGTGTGGTGCATATGTGTGGCATATGACCATTTCATTTTTAAAAGACTCAGATGGCACAATAACAACATATTATCAACAGCAGTGTAAATTTCTCATTGATAATTACACAGATAAGTGGCTTATTTATTCTGATGGCAAGACTGGCTGTGATTATACAAGTAGACCTGCAAACAGGTTATGTTTTATTGAGAAGTCTGTTTAAATACTAATTATTCCCAACCTTAATTATAAGGTAGATAAGTATTATCATCATTTTGCACATGGTGGAACTGAGACATTCAATTGCTTTTTCAAGGCTATTCTGAAAGGAAATGGGCTAGATTAAAGCATTACTTAAATTCACCATGGACTCAGCTGTTATACCATGCTGTCTAGATTGAGTTTGATGTGATTATTTCTCATAGAAAACTTTCCAGCGGATCAACAGGAAGCTTATAAACAGAAGAAAGATTTGCCATTTTCAGACTATCAGGCTACAAAGATGATTCAGCTGATGAAAATTTAGCTAAAATAAGTAACCATTAGTTCTTTTCCTACCCTTAGAGGACTTAAATGCCCATTTATTTTCTTTGCTAAACAGCCTTTTATATTGTGTAAACCCCGCTGATACTTCAGTCTTCCCTGTTACTTAACATGCGTCAATCTGAAACTAAAATTTTTTCATGAGATTTAGCCACCCAACCTGTACCTATGGAATAAACTGCATCTACATTCAGCATTCATTTGAAACATCATCCTATGGCTGTGAACATCTCAGTAACATCAGAGCAATAACCTCTTAACATCACTTCTACATCTCTTCAGCTTCAGAATATATCTATTCATGTCTGAAACCATCAGGATTTTTATCTTCAGCTGCAAAAACAAGGGTGAATGTTACCAATCCCTCCTCTCTTTCAAACCATCCCTAGATCCTCACCCAGGGCTGCTACAGTTCATAGGAATCACCAATGCAAGCAAAGTTGCTGTCGACCCTTGGCAACACAGTACAATGCAGGGCTCTTGGATGACTGCACTTTTTGTGGAATTCTGGGACTGTTTGACAAATGAACCGTGCTTGTGAAGAATGCAGTCCTGCAGCCTCTGCCATCAGACAGTTCTCCACTGCATGCCATGAGGACAGTCTGTGATTCTTGCCAACTAAGAAGGATAACTGCCTGTTCCCACTCTGGCTTTGCAGTTTCTGCCTCTGCCCTCTGATGTCATTTTTCTTCCTCATTTCCAGAGACCTACATATCAGTGGAATTCATTTGTTCTCAAGGTCTTTTCCCTCCAGGCATTTCTTCCTGCAGCTTTTACACTTGCTTCCTAAGTTCAGGAAAATGCAACCCTCACATTTACCTCTAGCTGATTTTCACTATCTGGGACACTTTCTACCAACTATAGGGCAGAACTTGACCAAAAATATCTAAGCTTAAGGTTTACATCTAGAAACAGACTGTACACATGCCAGAATAGGCAAAACTAACAGTGAAACTGAGATTATTTTTCCAATTTTTGTAATTCTACCTGAAAACATTTGTACAAAGATTTGTGAGGTCTCTTGCCTTAGT